GCCAGAGACTAGTTGTCAGAGCGACTGCTGTGCTCTCATTTCAGAGGAAAACGGAGGAGGAAGAGAGTTTCTGCATCTTTGGGCTTTCTGGCCTATGAGGACTGCGTAAGGCCATGAATCACTCTGTACGGGCTCCAGAAATGCTTTCTCTGCTCTGCAGAGGAGAAGGGAGTACATCTGCCTGCCTCAAGAGCTCCTCGGTGAGCAGGAAGAAAATAAAGACTTTTGCCCAAAGTCAGCAAGTCATGACATGAAATAATTTTTCTAATGCATGTGGGGACATTGCAAGAGTTTACTCCCCAATAATCAAAATTACAGCCAGACACTATATTGCATACAATGTCATGAAAAACTGTTTTTAAAATGGTACTGGACAAAGTTAAAAAAGGGAACGGCCTCATTTACTGTAGCGTATTAGAGATAATCCTGTAAATTCTAATCATGAGGTACCAGATATCTTTCCTCTGCTTTGCTTTCAAAACAAAGTAGAAATTTCCATCTGCTAAAAATGAGTGATTGCAATACTTTACTTTTTCTGTCAGAACGGCAAGAGTAAAATTTGTTTTGTTTATCAACTTTTAGGTAAATGAGTTCTGCAGGGCGAGCAAAAGTCAAGAGCCATCAAGCTTCTGTATTTTCACTTCTTTCCACTTCTTAGAAGCCAGCACTCTGTTAGTTCATTCAAACCTCCAGGGAGAAACAGGTCTGACTTTCCTTTTACAACAACCACTAACCTTGGGGTCATTGAGAGGATGATTCTGGGAAGACAGCACTGTTTAAGATGGAACTGTGATCTTTCAGTGTACTCAAAAGCAAGAGCAAAACATGCCGTGAAGCAGCACGATACAGTGACGGTGGATGCCTCACTCGGTTGTGACACTGCTCACTTCTTTTAGCCCTTCTCTCTCCCCATTCAAGCACGGGATTATCTTTATTCTCTCTTTAGCTGAATTCCTGGGACAGCAGTAACTAGCATCATCAGATCAGGTCACTCCTGGCAGGAACAGCAGATGAAGTAGAAAGCTTGACCTCAGCTCTAAAGGAACTGGTGCTTACAGCTGAATTCTGAAACAGCCTCCCAATGAAGACTGAGAACAAACCAGCTACTTACAGGTAAGATCTGAGCAAGATCACAGTTTCTTCATCTCACTGTCAGTGACAATCACTGAAGCCTGGCTCATAACCAGCTCAAACCTAAGAGGTGAAGCTCTACAGAGATACAGAAAACATACCAGGGGCTCATCTACATACAGCTCTGCAATGAGCAGGGAAATCAGCAAAACCCCACATGGACACTCCCCCCAGGGCAGACGTACTTTCTTGCCCCTTCCCTCCCCACTGTCAATGTAGCGCAGTCCAAGGGACTCCCAAAACATGCTGCAGGTGTGCGTAAGCCACCAGAGGAAGCCCGGCTCAGGGGCACACTCCTGATGAGCACAGTGTTGCTCAGATTCATCATGAATTAAGATACTTGCTGATGTGCCTAGGCTCAGGAAGTTTCCTGTATGTAACTGGCAGAAGGAGAAGGTGCCGTATCCTCTCCACCCAGCAGGCAATTTCTGTTTCTCTCAGGTGACTATACAGTGTGCCTGGGGCACCCAGGTCAGGAGCACAGCAGCCTGCGGTTGGCTGAGATCCATCTGCGCTAAACCAGTGTTACCAGTAGCTTTGAGTTCCCACCAGCCACAACCACAATTCAAAGATAAAACTGCCCAGCATGCTGACAGCTCTTTCCAACGCTTCTCCTGTCAGTTCTAATGCGAGAGGCCTCCGGAAGGAGCTTCCCTCTCTCCCAACACGCAGTGCAAATATACACATGCTGTAAACATGAAATAAACTGGTAATTAATAGACTCTGTTTGTTCAAACAGACATAACAGAGATAGGAGCAATAATGAATGCATACAACTGCTCTCTTCAGGCTGAACCCACCCAGATTTCTCTTATCCTTGGCTCAACTGAAAGGCTTACCCTGTGCATGTAGCCAAAGGAAACATGAGTACTCTACATCTCTCATTAGCTGACCCACAGCACGTGGCTGAATTTAAATTTCATATTTTGTAAAGAGATGACGTTCCTCAATGGTCTGTGAATACTATTATACCCACTGGAATAAATGCAACTGTAATATTTACAGCAACTGAAAATCTGCCCCAGTATACATCAGCCACCATCTCTGACCACTTCACTAAAAGAAGATGTCCAATCCAACTATATTTAGTCTGATAAACAATGCATTTCCTCTTCCTGTGTTTTTCAGACCAGATGTGCTAAGGCCTACCATTGTAGCTGAGCGTTATTTAACAGAACACTGCCAAAATGGAAAATTTCCCAGTTTAATCGTATAATTAACTTGCATCTTTGTTTTTCTCATCTTTTAAAGAAGGTCTGATTTAATGCTATCCTAAATGCAGTTTCTGCTAACAAAAAATTGAGATGTTTATTTGGAATGGTTGCTTGGGTGGGTGTTTTTTTCCTTTTTGAAAGAAAATTATTTCTGGTTCAACCTTAAGGATTAAGGCAATTCCAGATTGTGCTTGCTAGAGGCATATTCCCAAGGATTTTAAGGATTTGCTTTAATA